AGGAGGAGAGGGATTGTCCCTGGGTTCTGCAAATACTCTTGGCGGGGCCCAGGCCCCAGTGTTCTTGGGAGCTCTTGGGCACTCTTGCACGCCCTCGGGAATCCCGGCGTGACTCTTTCGGAGGCCTCCACGGCGTGGCTTGGGGTCAATTGCGAGAACGGCGCTCATACACCGCACCATGTCTGGACTCCTTTCAGGACCCGCTCCACCGCCGTGAGGTGCATCATTCCTGGGTCGAAGATCGACAACGCCTCGGGAGACGCCAATGCGGTACCGCACATACAGGTTGGCCGCGGATCCAAACCTGAAAGATGGTTTGAGATTGCACGAGACGACTTGTCAGCTTCTGGCGGGGGTGGCCTCAGCTGAGGTCCCTCCTTTTTCAGCAATGCTCTCCTGGATCGGTCCAGGAGGGCTCCGAAGGCTACTGTGTGTTATTACGCGTCCCTGGTAAGTCAACTCGCCTGGGGATCGTTTCTGAGTAGGCTGATGTGGATACGCAAAGCGTCATGAAGTAGAAAGAGAGAGAGAGAGAGACTGAACGAGCTGCTAAACGCGACTGGCCTGTCGCTCTGGCTGAGGTCGATAATTCAAATGAATTCAAAACGAGTCCTCGTGAACAGCCCACCTTGCCCTGCGGAACACCGCATCCCAGATCTTCAGGAAGATGTCCAAGTTCAGTGCAGTGCCAAACTCGCCTGCACAAGGCAAGGAACCAACAATCACAGCAAGACTCACTCATAACGACTGCGTGGGCTCGCAACTCTCAAAACGTGTGGCGCGACCGACGAAGCATGATCGAGGGTGCAAACATCTACGCAAAAATGGAAGACGAGGCAGGCAGTTTCTTCGAGGAGTTGGAAATACGGCGAGATTGGCAGGATGATTATCCAGAGCATGAAAACAAGTGGAAAAGAATCGGCCAATGAAAGAGGTGTCCTCCTGCTTCGCATTCCAAGTCCACGTTGACTTTGATTGTGGAGACTTCATCAGTCAGTGCGATCTCCTTATTGCTGAATACCTCCGCCGTGTCGCACGCGAACAAGCTGGATGCCATGATTGATAACATCGCCTGCTGTACGGTAGTATAGAAGGCCAATGCGTAGAGAAACACAAATGTCCCTCGATGGTGTTTGTTGGCATGTTGTGTTGCTCAGCACTTTGGCTCTGTACACTACCTCATAATCCGCCGATCCGGCGTGTGAGTTTCAAAGACCCTCAGATGTAGCCTGAGCCTCAGTTCTTGAGCTCCAGCTCTGCTGGGGGGGGGGTGCCGGGGTGGCTCTGCCGGGGTAGGGCGGGGGGGGGGGGTCGAGTCAATTTTGGTGGCAAAATCGGAGCTCCAGCTCACTCCGGGTCTGCCCCTCCCAGCGGCCGCCCAGACGGCCCAAAAAGGCCCTGAGTGGCCGAAACATCGCTCCGAGACACTCAATATGTTCCTCAGACGGCTCCAGAAGCCTCCAACGTACCCTCCCGACACCTCCTAAGAGTGCCCAAAGACGGAAAAATTAGGAAAACGTGCATGTTTTGCATGCTCGCTTCTTCGGCCTTCGCAGTGTCCAACACGGCCCAAGAGACCCCCAAAACAGGCCCAGAGGCTCTCAAGAGGGCCCCAAGTCGGCCCAAGAAGGGCCCAAGACGGCCCGGGAGGCCCCCAAGACAGCCCAAGCGGGCCCCAGGACGGGCCCAAGAAGCGCCCAAGAGGGCTCCATGACGGCCCCAGAAAGGCCCAAGAAGGCCCAAGAGGCGCCCAGGAGGCACCAAAATGGCCTAGGAGTCCCCAAGAAACCCCGAGAGGCTCCAAGTGGCCCTCAAGAGGCCCCCAAAAGGCGCTCAAAAGCGCTCACGAAGGCTTAAAAATTACCTCCTACACACCCCCAGGAGGCCTCCAGGATGCCTCCTGCATGCCCCCCAAGAAGCCCAAAAGGCCCCCAAGAGGCTCAACAATCACCTCCAAGACGCCACCCCAGGAAGCCTCGAAGATGCGTCGTAGAGGCCCCTCAAGGAGCCCACGCAATACCTCCAAGCTGTTTCCAAACCACTTCCGTTTGAACAAGCGCGCTGGGGCGAAAGCGTCCTTCTGACAGCGGGATCGTCCCGGATCGGCGGCACTGGCGGGAGGCCTCTACAACATCCACCGCTGCGCTTGAAGCGCGACTCCTCGATCCCCACAACTGGACCCAAGACACGCTCATGGGGAACATCAAATCGCAGCGTTGTGTGGAGGGGTCGCAGGGCAGCATGGTTCTTGCCACTACTAGGGACGAAGTTTTTTCGTAAATCTTCGGCCTCCGGAAGGTGTCTCTGGACTCCCGCGGGGGTGCCTGACAGCTACGCAACGGCACAACGCGGCCCAAGAACTGCAGACGATCGGCCTACGATATCCTCACAAACACTCAGAGATTCCTGGAACCTTCAAGACAGCACCAGGCCCCACATTCCCGATGCAGCTCCCCGAAGGCGCCGAAGGAGCCATCCGGGGGTCTCCTGGGAGACCGGCAAATGCTCACTGCTCGATGCTAGCCACCTCAGGAGGCTCAAGAAGGTCCAGGCGGTTTGGGGGTCTTCCACCAGACGGCGCCCGCCCCCCCGCGGATCCGACGTTGCGAAAAAATTGCAACATCACGAGAAGTCACAACCGCAGCCCTACATCCCCAGGACGAAAGTTTTTTCCTCTTGGGCCCGGAACGACGGTGTGAAGTCTTGAGCAAACGCGCATGAGAGAACCGCAACGGGATCCAACGAAATTCGCGCGGATCCGATTTGGGTTTTGGTTTCTGTTTCGGTGGATCCGGTTTCCGTCCGCGCGGATCCGATTTCGGATTTTCTGGATCCGCGTCCAGTCTTATTTTTTACGGCGGATCCGATTTCTACCCCATTTAAAATTTATACTATTAAATTAAAGCAGGAAGCGGACGAAATCGGATCCGCGGACCCAGGAACCCGCCCGTGTTAAGATTGTACGGGGGAAAGGGGGGTTGGGTCATTAACTTCCAACTCATCATCGCCATTTGCACCTCAAGAGGAAAATCTTTCGTCCTCCGTAGGCAGACCCCATCTTTCTGCTGCATTTTTCTAGCCAGATCGATATGTGAGGGTCCCACGGCCCGAAAGCGACCGAGAACGCCCAGTTGGAAATTTCCCGAGACGTACCCAACCCCTTCTCCACGCGAGGCGAATATTTCTATGAACGCTCCATACACAAGAACACATCGCCAGAGATGCACGATCCGAGCTGCCCTCATCTCCGCCGTGCCTCCCAGGAGCCCACGAAACGGAAAGCTGCACAAGTCAAAGCCTCCCAAGCAGCCGCGAGGTCTCGGCTGGATCCGCATGGCCCCCGACCCCGCTGGACCTCCCAGGAGCACACGAGAGTGGCGACAGTTGCACAGATCGCAGCCACCCAGGGAGCAACGAAGTCTCAAATAGGTGCGCGCGGCACCCGACCCCGCTTGACCGTCCAGGAGCCCACGAAAGTGGCGACAGTTGCGCAGCTCGCAGTCACCCAGAGAGCTGCGAGGTCTCGGCTGGATGCGCGTGTTCCCATACTCCGCCGTGCCTCCCAGGAGCCCACGAAACTGGCGACCATCGTGCAGATGCAAACACCCAGAGAGCTGCGAGATCACGGCTGGATGCGCGCACTCCCATACTCCGCCGTGCCTCCCAGGAGCCCACGAAACCGACGACAGTTGCGCAGTTCGCAGCCACCCTGGAAGCCGCGATGTCTTGGCTGGATGCGTGTATTCCCCCACTCCGCCGTGCCTCCCAAGAGCCCACGAAACTGGCAAAAGTTGCGCAGTTCGCAGCCACCCAAAGAACTGTGAGGTCTCGGCCGGATGCGCGGACTCCCCTACTCCGCCGGACCTCCCAAGAACCGACGAAACTGACGACAGTTGCGCAGTTCGCAGCCACCCAGGGAACCGCGAGGCCTCGGCTGGCTGCGCGCACTCCGCTACTCCGCCGTGCCTCTCAGGAGCCCACGAAGCTGGCGAAAGTTGCGCAGATCGCAGCCACCCCAAAAAACTGCGAGGTCTCGGCCGGATGCGCGTACTCCCCTACTCCACCCTGCCTCCCAGGATCCCGCGAAACTGACGACAGCTGCGCAGTTCGCAGTCACCCAGGGAGCTGCGAGGTCTCGGCTGGATGCGAGTACTCCCCTACTCCGCCGTGCCTCCCAGGAGCTCACGAAACTGACGACAAATGCGCAGGTGCAGCCACCCAGGGAGCTGCGAGGTCTCGGCTGGATGCGAGTACTCCCCTACTCCGCCGTGCCTCCCAGGAGCTCACGGAACTGACGACAAATGCGCAGGTGCAGCCACCCAGGGAGCTGCGAGGTCTCGACTGGATGCGCGAACTCCCCTGCTCCGCCTGGCGCCTGGGTGAGCGGGCCGTTTTGGAACTTGTCTCGTTTTTCTTTCGAGTAGGGATCGACTACAGAATTGATTTACCCGAAAGATGAGTTCCGTCAATTCGCGAAAAATTTGAATAATGTTCGTCGATATACTAATATTCTTTATATTTCTCGACGATCCGAAAAAATGGGGCGAATCAATTATGCAGCCAATCTGCTACTCGGTTCTGAAATGTCTCGAAAGCACCTGGGGCGTCCTGGGTCTCAAGACCACGGGGTGACGGGCCGTCCCGGTGAGTCTTCCTGAGGCCTCGCGAGGCCATCGCTGTTTCTGCTCCCGAGGCGCAGCGGTGGCAGCGAAGGATTCACAATCGGTGACAGCGCGACGCACAGCAGACAGAAGCGCACAGCGTTCAGATCGGCACGCATCCCGCCTGGCTCGCGAGGCCGTCGGCTGGTCTGCACCCAGGCGGTCTGGGGAGCTCTGGCTCACCCCTGCCCCGTCGGAGGCGTCCCTGGACACATCTCGCGAATGCCGCCTTCCGGTGGTCGGCGGAGTGGCTCGAGCCTCTCGCAGGCGATGTGTCTCCCCCAATCCCCGAGTTTTGCCCGAAAAGTTTGGCCGTTCAGCAGCAGGGGGAAACCCTGGGATACACCCCGTGGGGGCTGTCCAGACGCACCCCTACCGAGGATGGACGCCCCCCCATCGTATATCCCAGGGTTGGGCCCCAGATTCTTGGCCCCTGCGAAGACCTCCCAGAGCCTGGGATAGGGGTCGACTTATCCCCTGCGAGCCTCGTCGTAAACGCCAATTACGTTCGCTGACCAGCCATGGTCGCGTCTGTGGTTGGAGCGCGAGGGCGCGAGCGGCGGACACTTACCCGGGTGAGCAGGGAGGGGCCCACACTCACAAAAACAGAATGCACAAGCAGGGGTTGGCACCGCGAGTGGTTTGGCTCCACCGCCTGGGCGGCACATGCATCCTCAGCATCACGACTGCGCGGTGCAAACATTTCGCCGTCAACTGCAACTGGCTTCGCCGAGCCAAACATTATGTAAAAGGCAGAGTGTGTCCTCGTATGCTGGGATATGATGTACTGCAGCAGTTCGGTCTCGTAGCCAGAAGGGTTCATCAGCGCAAAGCAGTAGAGACGCCCAGCCTAAGCCAGCACTGCCACGGGCAGAATGTTGCGGCGGAGCTCCATGTGTCTTGCTAGTGTGGTTACCTCTCGCTCCCATATTCACGGAGTGGCTGCATCTGAGCGTCGACTGATCCCACCAGCCCTCGGGGCGTCGGTGAGCTAGCATGCCAGCTCCTCCAAAACAGCCCTCGTCTTCCATCGGGGAAGGGTTTACCCCTTCTCTCCCCCTGCCTTTTCCCCACGGATGCAGAGACCAGAATAGCCTTAGGTCGGGAATGTCCTGCTACAAACGGATTTAAGAAGACAACTAAAAAGTAGTCTGAAATGTGTCAAACATAGTCCAAAAAGCACGAAAAACCGTCGCCATATGATCCTTTTACTATTAGTGAATATTCTTCCTGTAGAGGGACATGCCGACTTACGGAGAGCCCTGGAGAGCGCCAAGCTGGCCCACGGTGTCCCAAGAGGAGCGCCTCCACACTGGCGCAGGGATGGCCCAAGTTGGCCCAAGATGGCCTCCCGCATGCCTCCAAGGCCTCCGAGAGGCCCCGACCCAGAGATCCGACGCTCCAACGAAAAAAGGGAGCGGCGGGGTTCTGGCAGCTTTCGGCCGCCGGGGGCCCCCGCTGGGCCCCGGGAGCGTTTTTTTTTTTTGTTATATATATATATATATATATATATACTACAGTGTAATAAATATATAAATTAAATAAAAATAATACATATATATATATAGATATATATCTATTATTTTTTTTGTTTTTTTTATTTTTAAAAAAAAAAAAAAAAAAAAAAAAAAAAAAAAAAAAAAAAAAAAAAAAAAAAAAAAAAAAAAAAAAAAAAAAAAAAAAAAAAAAAAAAAAAAAAAAAAAAAAAAAAAAAAAAAAAAAAAAAAAAACGATCCTGGACGAAAAACCGGCCCCGGGGAAGTGGTCCGGACCTGCGGGGCGCACGCGTCGAAGAAGAATCGGAGCGGCCGCGTGTCTGGGGAGGTGGCTCCGAGGTGGCCCCCGAGCCCTCGGAGGCTGCCCTGGGTTGGGCCTCCTCGCCCGTTGGACTTCGGCCTGGGCCTCTCGAGCATCAGAAGGGCCTGGCGACGGTCCAGGATGGTGCTGAGAGGGGCCGACAGGGGGGAAGCCAAAAGGTCCCTGGGAGAACCCACGAAGATCTCGAGACGCAGCGTTCCAGGATCTGCGGGGGCGGCGCTGCGAACTCTTTCAAACGAGCCTCCACAGAGATCCAGGATGGCTCCAAGACGTATCCAAGAGGCCCGCCCCAAACTAGTATTAAGTATTAAGTCGGGCGTGTCCCCCTACAGGGGGATTTTAAGCGAAAAATTAAAAATACCCAAAAAATACTCCCAAATGCCCAAAAAATCGTCCCCTGACTATTTTTTTACTATTTTTGAACATTCCCCCTGTAGAGGGACAGGCCCGACTTAAAACTAGTAGTCTGGGAGGGGGGAGGCTGCTTGGGCGGACCCATCAGGTGGTGTAACTTGTGCCTCCCCTCTTTGTTTCACCACGCCCGCCACCGTGCCCCCCCTGGCGCGAAGGTACCTTGTAGAACGCCATGTGCTGTCTGGTAGGGAGACTGCAGTCTTCCAAGGGCCGCCCGCCCTCCAACCCACGCACCATGCTCGGGCGTGAATACGCCCCCGCATCCTTCCAGAAACTTCCGGGCGTCTTGGCACCTCCCCAGGACTCTCCGAGGCCAGCCAAGGCATCCAAGACGGACTCACAAGACCCCGTGCCTCAAGAGACAGCCCACAGCCTCCGAAAGACCCGAAGATGGGCCAAAGGGACCTCAGGAGGCTTCCAAGATACCAGAGAGGTGGCCAAGAGGCACTCCAGGAATGCCGAAAAATCAAAACCTGAGGAAACCCTCAGGGTTTGAATGCTTTTGTACGTTGCCTGAGTCCCTCGGCTCAAGATGGGCCTCGGACGAGCAGGAAAAATGCCAAAAGAGCCCTGTTGGAGGCCCCCCAGACGACCCAGGACAGCCCTAAGAGGGCCCCAAGATGGCCAAAGAGGGGCCCTGGACAGCCCAAGAGTCCCAAGACGCCCCCAAGACAGCCCTAAATGACTCCCAGACGGCAGAAAAGAGCCCCAGACGGCCCAAGACGGCACCAAGACGACCCAAGAGAGCCCCAAGACGACCCAAGAGGGCCCCAAGAGGGCCACAAAAGGGACATGAGAGCCCCTCAAAAAAATAGAGACTAGAGGTAACACGTGTCACGGCCTTCTACACGGTGCTCGAAGTGTCGCCAAACAGAGTGCTGCGCAGGCACGGTGGCGAGACTTGCCGCAGACAGCTCATCCGCTGCCCCCTCTCAAAACAACTCGCCTACATGTGTATTATGGATCAGCTGATGGCGGCACGCGAAGTGCCAATAATTACGGACTGCAAGGCGCGAGGATGCGCGCAGAGCGAAGACAGCCTTCGCGCGATCCATGCTGTAACGCAAAATACTGCATCACATGGAAATATTCAGCGCAGGCCTGATCTGGAAAAACAATCGGCGCAATCTTGATCGAAAACGATCCGCATCGATTCAACGAGCCTCCCAATCCAGTCTTAGGGCCCCGCAGGCCGTATATAGTCACCTTGGGACAACTGGGTGGGAGCAAGTCAAATGTGGAGGGGCGCGTGTCTACGAGCATGCGGCGGAACTTGCAACATGCAGCATGAAGCCTGATGTTTACGGACACACACAAGATGCGCGCCTTTCTATTGGTACAACAATTGTGGCAAATGCACCTGTCAAAATACGAGCATGAATCTGAAAAGCATTCAGCTCAACATCAGCTATCAGATTCCAGCCACTGCGGAAGCGTTCATGATGCATGAGCAAGGTGAAATGCAAACTCGGGCAATGCATAGGGCTGCATACTTGTCACAGCATCAGGCGCACCTCCGCAGGGTAAGCCACCAGACATAACACCATCTGATGCCTCCTGCCACCATGCGACGGAACTGCGCATTCCGCAAATCTGCTTCAAGTCAGTCGGGACACGCTGCGACATCAATGCATGGTACGTACCAGTATACGAATATCAACAACGGTTGCACATGCGATTGACCAATGACGCCACACAGCAGAACTCGCCAGCTGACTTGGCTCGCAGAGGTGCGGCAGACCCAACCCGAAAGCGCAATTCGGATCCAAATGCACGACTTGCCCATACGAACAGCCTGAGACACGGCACGTGCGACGATGCGAGAAGAGACGCAGGCCACCGGAGAGGAGTGCAGAACACGTCGTGCGAGGAGTGAGCTGTTGGGCGCGCCTGGGTGCAACGAAGGTCTGGAGCGACGATGAGAGGCAAAGCGAGGCCCCGCCGCCGCGGCCGGCGCGCCGCAGCCCGAGCTGGGCGCGGCGGAGGCGCGCCGGCGCGGCGGAGGCGAGCGGCGGCCGAGGTCGCAGGCCAGGGGCTCGTGGAGGGGGGAGAGCGGAGGAGGAGGAGGAGGAGGAGGAGGAGGAGGAGGAGGAGGAGGAGGAGGAGGAGGAGGAGGAGGAGGAGGTAGGAGGTGGAGGAGAGGCGGCGGAGGGAGGAGGAGGAAGAGGAGGAGGAGGAGTAGGAGGAGGAGGGAGGAAAAGGAGGAGGAGGAGGAGGGGGAGGGGAGGAGGGCAAGGGGGGCGGAGGGGAGGGGGAGGAGGAGGGGGAGGAGGAGGCGGAGGAGGAGGAGAGGAGGAGGAGGAGGAGAGGAGGAGGAGGAGGAGGAGGAGGAGGAGGAGGAGGGAGGAGGGGAGGAGGAGGAGGAGGGGGAGGAGAGGAGGTGGGGGAGGAGGAGAGGAGGTGGTGGTGGAGGAGGAGGAGGAGGGAGGAGGAGGAGGAAGAGGAGGAGGAGGCGGAGGGAGGAGGAGGGGAGGAGGAGGGGGAGGAGGAGGTGGAGGATGGAGGAGGAGGAGGAGGAGGAGGAGGAGGAGGAGGAGGAGGAGGAGAAGTGGGAGGAGGAGGCATGGACGGAGCGATGAACCTTCAAGTCAGCGACCGCGACGATGATCGGACGGCGGTCGAGCAGCGGCGGGCCGCGCCGGAAAAACCCAGCGAGGCACGGGGACGAGGGGACGCACGCGGCGAGGAACAGCCAGGCACACGCTTTCCCCCTGGGCCGTAGGCGACCCGAGGAGGAGGAGGAGGAGGAGGAGGAGGAGGAGGAGGAGGAGGAGGAGGAGGAGGAGGAGGAGGAGGAGAGGAGGATTAGGAGGAGGAGATGGAGGAGAAGGAGGCGGAGGAGGGGGAGGAGGGGGAGGAGGAGGACGGGTCGCCTAAGCCCTTCGGAGAAACCCTCCAGGCACACGGCAGCGGTGGACAGGAGCACGGGAAGAGGAAGACGAGAACAGAGAGGAGCACACTCACCCAGAGAACGAGACGAGGGCACCCAGAGAGAGCACACGCACCCCAGAGAGGAGCACGCTCACCCCAGAGGGGAGCACACTCACCCAGAGGACACGAGAACGGACAGGAAGAGGGCAAGCCAGTCCTGGCGCGGTCCCCAGCGCGAGATGAGAACAGAGAGGAGGAGCAGGCATGGGGAGCAGCAGTCGTAGCCGGACGCGGGGGTGGAGGACGGGCAACCTCGGCAGCGGCGGCCCGATCACAGCCGCCAGGGAGAGCAGGAGGAAGGGGAACTGCAGAACGGGACGGAGCAAGTTCATCGATGACTCGATGCCACGGATCGGGGAGCCCGTTTGGCGCGTCGACGCCACCGCCCACAACGCTCAGACGTGTCGTCCGCTCTCGCAGGACGGGCCGCGCCGAGGGAAGTCGCTCGGGAAGAGAGAACCACGAGCGCGCGAATGCGGGGGGGAAGTCCTTCTCTGGCATCTCGTCCTGCTCGAGCTTAAAGAGGGAGCACTCTCCGCCAGGCTTGAAGGTCCAGGCCGAGCACTTCGCGTTGTCGAAACACCTGTATCCAGGACCGCTTCCAAACAAGACTCTGCTCCCGCCTCCACTAACACGTAAACGCACATCGCGGGGTGAAAGTGGATAGGGAGTGGAGGCCATTGCACACGGCGCTGGAAACAAAAAAAGCACACGCGCTTGTATGTGCAGCGATACACAGATATCGAGTACACACACACACACCTACACACATACATGCATGCATACATACATACAAACATACATAACTATCGACATACGTATATCCATACACACATATACACGTACATACATACATACATGCATGCACCTGACACATGCATACATACATACATACATACATACATACATACATCATACATACATACATACATACATACATGCGTTCAGACAGACAGACAGACAGACAGACAGACAGACAGACAGACAGACAGACAGACACACACACACACATACATACATACATACATACATACATACATACATACATACATACATACATACATACATTACATACATTACATACATACATACATACATACATACATACATACATACATACATACATACATACACTACACTACACTACACTACACTACATTACATTACATTACATTACATTACAATACAATACAATACAATACAATACAATACAATACAATACAATACAATCATACATACATACATACATACATATATACATACATACATACATACATACATACATACATGCAGGCACATACACATGCATGCATACATACATAAATACACACGCACACACAAACCATCCATCCATGCATGCACGCATACATACATACACACATTCATGCATACGTACATGCATACGCAACTATAGTCATGCATACATACATGCATGAATATAGTCATGCGTACATGCATACATACATGCATAGCTACATACATACATACATGCATGCATGCATTCATATGAATACATACATATGTGCATGCATGTTTACATATATGCATGCATGCATGTATGCCTGCATACATGCGTACGTGCAGGCATACGTACATACATAAATGCATACATGCATACAGTCATATATGTATACATGCATACATGCATACATACATGCATACACGCATACAAACATACAAGCATACACGTACACGTGCATGCATGCAGATGGGCATGCATACATGCTTGCATGCATGCATGCATACATGCATCTATACATGTACAAGGGTGTAGCTAGTCATATGAGTATGTGAGTTTATATGCACGTGCATGCACGTGCGTATGTATATACATATGTACATATACGCATATGTGCATGCATGAATGCATAACACATGCATGCGTACACACACATATATATATATACATTTGCAAACATACATGCATGCATACCTACATGTATTCCTCTTCGAAGTTCCTATAAAAGAAACTCCTCCTACCTAAATTCGGCCCTGGGCGCTCCCACCGCCCGAGTGGGGCCAAAATCGCTTCCCGGACGGTACCACGCAGCACCGAAACGGCCCAGGACCGCTTCAAGAACAGCACGACGAGGACCCCGCGAGCGCCCAAAAGGCCCTGAGGCGGCCCAATACGGCCTCAAGACGGCTCGCGAGGCTTCCCGACACGGCCCGCGAGGGCCCCGCGAGGCCCCCAAGGGGTCCCGACAAAACAGCCCAGAATTGCCCCAGGACGGCTCAAGAGAGCCAGAGAATTGTTCAGAAGGGGCCCAACAGGACCACCGCGAAGGCCCAGAGAGGCCAAAAACGTAAATGTCCGAGGCTTCCAGGAGGCTTGCCAGAGGCCTCCAAGTACACTTGCTCGGGTATTCGGATGAGGTGTTCGGGTGTTAGCGTTTTGGAGTGATGGTATTCAGGTTTGGGTGTTAGGACTCGGGTGTCCAGGTCAAGGTGCTCGGGTTGGAATATTCGGGCTTCGGTGGTGGAGTTCGGGTTGGGATGTCAGGGTCAGCGTGTGAGAAACGGTGTTACGGTTCTGGCGTTCATGTTGGGAGGTTCGGCCCCACGAGAGCCCCAAGACGCCCCCCAACAGTGCTCCAGATGTCAACATTTATATTTCGCATAGTGTTGTTTGATACGTTTCAATGCGCTCGTTTTTTCCAAAAAGAAAGTGGCTCCTCAAGAGGCCCAAAAACTGCCCAAGAAGGCCCCCAGACTGCCCAAAAGGCTCCGCAAGACGCCTCAAGATGGCCCAAAGGAGGACAAATCAAGGCCCCCAGAAGCCCCCAAGAGGCCCCCATGACGCCCTTAAAGCTCCCAAAAAAGCTCTCAAGAGCCCCCTTCGGGAAGACCCACAAGATCTATTAACCCCTATGAGCTTAATGCACCATATGACCCTGTATTCCGATCGACCTCGCGAACCTCACAACCCCTACGAACCCTATGACCCTGATGACCCCATATGAGCCCTACGACACCCACGAACCCAATGAGCCGTACGAGCTCCATGAGTCCTATGAGGCCCATGAGCCCTACGCGCCCTCCAAGAGACCCCCGAGACCATGCCCTGTGAGCCCTATGAGCCCCATCAGCCGTGCAAGCCCATGAGCTCAAAAAGCTCTTGAGCCCTACGACACCTATGAGCCCGACGACCCTTCGGCACCCTTCGAGCCCTACGAATCCTACGACCCCTGTCAGCGCTACGAGCCCTCAGCCTCAGCCTCAGCCGCATTTGCCCTATGAGCCCTACGACCTCTACGCACCAAATAGCTCACGAGCCCAATGGCCCTATGACCCTATAGTCCTTGCGAAATCATGCGCCTTAAAGCCCGTACGAGCCCTGTGATCCTGATGAACTCATGAGCCCGTCGACCCCTCCGACCCCTGTCACCCCTACGAATCCTCTTAGACCCATGAGCCCTGTGTGCCCTCTAAGATGCCCCCCAGACACCTCCCCTCTCGGAGCCCACGAGCAACCTTGCTCCCAAGCGTCCAGTGGACGCGCGCGGCACCATCAGCCCACATGAGCTCGATGGGCCCGTCGAGCCCTTCGAGCACATCGACGTCCTCAGTGCCGCGAGCCTTATGGCCCTCATGAGCCCCAATGGCCATTATGAGCCCCATGAGCCATGTGGTCCCAATGAGCCATATGAGCCCTATGCGCCCTCTGGCGCCTTCCGAACCTCACAAGCCCCATGACCCCGTTTGGGCCGTGCAAGCCGCACGACCCCGATGGGCCCTGTGAGCCTCATGAGCTTCGTGGGCCCCCTGATCCGGGCGTCGCACGTGAGCCTACTTCCTTATAAGCCCTCTGAGCCGTGTTAGCCCGACGAGTTTCACGGGCCCCACGAGCCCAGTGAGCCCTTCAAGGCCTGTGTCGCCTATGAGCCTGATAAGCCCTGCGAGCCACTTGAGCTATATCAGCCCCACAGGCCCCACGAACCGCTTGGCCCCAAGGAGCCTCCGCAACCTTATGAGCCGCACGAGCCCCATGGGCCGTATGAGCCCTATGACACCGACGACCCGTTTTGAACCTTGTGAGCCTTATGAGCACGGTGGGCACAATCACCCCTATGAGCCCCCCATGAGCCTCATAAGCTCCATGAGGCCGCACGCCATGGAGCCCAAGAGCCAGTGACTTCTGTTTAGCTAAGGCCCCTACGAGCCCCAGAACCCGAATGAGCTCATCAGCCCGAGAAACCCAATGACACAATCACGCCTGCCGTCCATCGGAACCTCATGATCCCCATGAGCCGCGCTGGGTGAATTTTATCTCCTCCCAATGAAGGCTCCGAGCCTCTGAGCCCTCATGGCGGCGGAGAGGCTTTGAGCTCTCTGACCTGGTAGAACCCATGGGTCCTGTCAGCCTCGCGTGACCCGTGGACCCTATAGCTGAAGCGTATCGCGGTAATGGCGTGTACCGGTCGCGGCGGGCCTCTCTGGCGCCATGCGATCAAGACTTCTAAAGCGAAGCGAAGCGAACCCGTGAAATGTGGTGTACAGATTGAGAGAGAGATGACTGTGACGCATGATACACATACAGGCACTTGTACAAACATACATATACCAAAACACGTCAACGTACGTAATTACGCGTGTATACAATACACCACCGTTCCGCGAGGCACTGACTAGAGTGTCCCGGAACCCTTTAGAACAGTCGATCCTTAGTGTCGAGTTGAGGGCACGGAGGCCCCACGCACCTCTTGGTGCCAGTCGCATGACTCCTAGGGTCCGTCGCATGACTTTTCACCCAGAGAGCCCAGGACTGGCCCAAAAGGACGCCATGACGGCCCAAGAACTTCCCAAGACGGCTCAAAACGGCCTGAGGACAAAGATGATCCCGAAACTGATCTCCAAGATCGCCTCACGACGCAAAAAACATGAACTGCTAGAATGGTTTTGAAAGATTTGGCGTCTTCGGCTGTTCTGGTCAGTACTTCTGCAAGATAACCTAATAGGTACTCGAGGTCGCGCTACGAGAGCTCATGAGGCTCCCAAGAAAGCTCCACGACGGCCCAAGAGGTCTCCCAGACGGCCCAGGAGACCCACAAGACGGCTTAAGAGGCACCCAAGAGGCCCCCAATAGCGCTCCAATATGGCCGAAGGCCGCCAAGACGGATTTCAGAAAGGCCCAAGACTAGGAACTCGAGCTTACATTATGGGCCCTCTCCCCCAACATGGCCCTCCGAGACCCCCAGAGGCCTGCTAGAGGCCCCCAAGAGACCCCCAGATGACCCCAAGAAGCCCCAACAGGCCCCAAGAAACCTCCAAGAACTCCCCACGAGGCTCCCGAGAGGCCTCCGAGAGGCCCCCGAAAGGCTTCCCAAAAGACAGAAAGAAGCCTCTAGAGGCCCCTTGTCCACGACACAGACACACAGTACCAGGATGGGCCGAAAGCATCTAGGCGTGATGCGCGGATGAATTCCGGCAGTCTCCTGGACGCGGCCTGACCCTGACCTGTCGCTGCGGCGGCCGCAGGACTAGGACAGGTCGGCGCGCAACCAAGAGGCGAGGAACATCACCGTAGCAAAGTAACGAAGCCAAAACGAAGCCTGCAGGCCGACCAACAACGAATGCACAAGA